TTCTCCTGCCTCAACCTCCCAAGTAGCTGGGATTACAGGTGCACGTCATCATGCCCAGCTAATTTTTTGTATTTTTAGTAGAAACTGGGTTTCACCATGTTACCCAGGATGGTCTCGAACTCCTGACCTCAGGTGATCCTTCTACCTCAACCTCTCAAAGTGTTGGGATTACAGGCATGAGCCACTGCACCAGGCCCGTTAATTAACTTTCTCATAATTTTGTGTACACTTTATGCTAACTGATTCCCTTATTAAACCCTGAAGAAGCTTAAGGTCTCGTGGAGAAAATACGCAAGTGAAGAGATAAAGCAATTTTCGCCTTAAGCTGGTGCTGTAGCAGGATGAGACTGTTAGGGGCCTTCTTGGGAGAGAGTGAATGTATTTTGCATGTGAACGAAATGTATATAATTCATGATCAGAAGGCAAGCTGGTGGGGGTGATTTTAAAATATGTCCAAAAATTATTTTCTATTACTCCCTTGAGGGGGTAGAGGTTAATTTCCCTCCTCTTTGTAAGAAAGGGGAAGGAAGAGTATATGTATTTGTGTGTGTTTGTAACATTTGCTTAATTTTGCAAAAAGAAAAACTGTAAGAATAAAACAGAAACTCATAAAAGCAGTTATCTATGGGGTATACGGATAGGTGGAAACAGAGTGGTACAGATAGGGATGGAAGCAAGACTCTATTTAAAAGCATACTGTTCACAAAGTTTTTATTTCTGAGCCATGTAAGTGCTACACTATTGAAAAATAAAATTAAAAACAAAATGAAAATAAGTTAAATACTAACAGAAACAAGTAAACCTAAGTAAATAAGGAAATTGGTAACCACCTCACAGAGAAAAGAAAATTGTTTCCTCAAATTACATTAGAACACAGTGCTGACGTTAGAACACTGTACAACCAGCCTTAGCTACTTAGTAAGTTGTTAATGTTGGAAGTGTTGTTATAATTCTGAAACTAGTTCATGTGTATTGTAGAAGAGAGAAAATGAACAAATGTACTGAAGTCTTTGGAAATTACAGTTTTCACTGTAGGAAAGACACAAATATGAATGATAAGGAAGAACTCTATGGTATTGGATTTGAATTTGAGTTGTCAGTGCGTATAACTTATGATTTTTAAAAATCGACTTCCAAGCTTTATTCACTGAAAGGTCCTAGACACAATGGCACCTCAGTAGCAATATGCATGTCAGATCTTGATTTCTAAATATGATTCCCTCCTAAAAGGAACAAGGACTTCCTAGCAAAATGGTTGATTCCAGGTCTGAGGGAACAGGCAAAATACAAGGTGAGCCTGAAAGGTTTTGACATGCCAGAAAGCAATAAATTGAGGTCATGCCTTTAAAAAGACATAGGATCCAGCTTTAAGAGGCTGGTCAAATTTGATACAACTGAGAATCAAAAACAGTAGTGACAACAATGCATCATAGCACACTGAATTAAAAAACAAAAGATGGTTCTATAATGATAATAGGGAAAGCTTTTTTATTCCTGAAGAATATCAGCTAATAAATAACTATGATAAAATTAGAAAATCATCAATGTAACAGTTGATTTAGGCAAGGATCTTTAGCTGATGTTAATGTCACTGAATGAAGGATTATTTAGTAGCAGGATATTCACAAGGTTTCAAAAGATATGCTATAGATTACATATTAATTATAAAGGGAAAAATGTAACTTTAAATTAGTGGGATATGGCATTATGTGTTCCCTGGTGTATGCTGTAAAAGTATACATCACTTGACTGGGTGTGGTGCCTCACACCTGTAATCCTAGCATTTTGGGAGGCCAAGGCAGGCAGATTGCCTGAGCTCAGGAGTTCAAGATAAGCCTGGGAAAAATGATGAAACCCATCTCTACTAAAAATACAAAAAATTAGCTGGGCATGGTGGTACATGCCTGTAATCTCAGCTACTTGGGAGGCTGAGGCATTAGAATCCCTTGAACCTGGGAGACACAGGTTGCGGTGAGTTGAGATCATGCCACTGCACTCCAGCCTGGGTGACAGAGCAAGATTCTGTCTCAAAAAAAAAAAAAATATATATATATATACACATAAAAATTACATATGTATATATATATATATATATACATATATTATATGTATATATATACATATAATATATGTCTATATATATACATATAATATATGTATATATATATATATATATATACATCATTTATGTAAAACTCTTGTCAAATGAGTTTAATCTAAATCAGAACATGAAAAAAATTTTTTTAAATTCTAGAATGGGGACATTCTATGATACATACAATCCATAATAACTGGTCTGAACTCTCAAAGCCAATGCCATGAGAAACATGCAGAGAGAGAGAGAGAAAGAAAGAGAGAGAGAGAGAGAGAGAGAGAGAGAGAAAATGGTTGTAAATTTAAAGACAATAAGGATATCAAACAACCAAATACAATTCATGATCTTTGATTTGCTCCTAGATTAGTAAAAATACCTAAGACTTTTTGGGAGGACAACTGGAGAAATTTAAATATGAGCATATTAGATGATACTGTATTGGCAGTATTAATCTTAGATATAATAATGTGGTTTGTAGGAAATCACCCTTATTCTTAGGAGATGCATATTCAAGTTTTAAAGCAAGAATCATGATGCTTTCAGGTAATTTTCAGATAGTCTGGCAAACTGAGACACATATTACAGGTATAGAGATAAAGCAAATATGACAAAATGTGGACAACTGGTGAATCCAGCTGGAGGGTATATAAGGTGGTCACCATATTGTTCTTTCCATTTTTCCTACAACGTCACAAGATTTCAAAATAAAAAACTGTTTAGGAGGGGGACAACACACACTGGGGCCTCTTAGGGGTGCAGGAGGAGGGAGAGCATCAGGATACATGGCTAATGCACACAGGGCTTAATACCTAGGTGATGGGTTGATAGGTGTAGCAAACCACCGTGGCACACATTTACCTATATAACACACCTGCATGTCCTGCACATGTATCCCGAAACTTAAAATTAAATTAAATTAAAAATAAATAAATAAATAAAAGCTGTTCCTTGGACTTAGTAAAGACAGGAATCTGGCCACGTTGGCCAGAGTGATTTCATTGGCATACTGGGCTCAAAAGTTGTAAGGCAGTAGCTTGTAGAGTGAATGGATGGTGAAGAAATGTAGCTAGCGAATGAATACAGATCTTTCTTTTAGAAGGCATGGCTATGAAGGAGAGATCAGGAAGGAACAGGTTGAAAAAAAGGGTTTTTGTTGTTTTGGTTTGTGCATTACATTTTAGATTGGGAGACTGTTGTCAGTGTTTTTAGATTGGGAGACTGTTGGCATGTTTTTATTGATGGAAAGGTGCAAATGGAGAGAAAGAGGCTGAAGATATGAATGAGCAGGGAAAATTTCTGAGCCCGATCACTGAAGGGGGAAAGGAGGTGACAGTGGGGGATGAGAAGTAAAACATGAGTAGTGAATTAAGAAGCTAACTTTTCCAAAGAGCTATGGGAGAAGGAGGCATGGGCTATGTAAAATAGTGGACCTTCAGCACAGGACATGGGGAGAAAAGAAAACTGGAAAGATACCTGGCTAAGGTAATGAGAAAGATTTCTTGGCAGCATCCAATTGAGATAAGAGACTTACTTTAAAGTGGAAAATCCACATTTGTGTATTTTCCCTAGCAAATACACAATCTTGCAGCAGCTCAAATAATAATGGAGAAGGCAGTCAGCCTGATACGGATTTGTGTTTTACTTTAAGAGTGCAAGAGAATAACAAAGGGGAAAGGAAGTTGAGAATACTGGCAAGTGACTGGCTGAAACACGGAATGATACAAAAGAAAGTGAAGATGGAAAGAGGTTGATAATTTTGGAGAAAATGGCAGAACTGAGAGTAGTTGTTCTCAACCTCTTCAACCTTTGTTGTAAATCAGAATCACCTGGGGAGCTGTAAAAATAAAAAAATAAAAAAACAGCAGTGACTGAGCTCCACTCCAGACCTACTGAATCAGAGTCTCAAGGTGTGGATCTAAGCCATTTACTGTTTAAAGAAAAAGTGATTTTTAACATGGGGCCACTACTTTCATGAGCAGAAAATAGGTGTACTCTAGGAATACAGGAGTGAGATGGTTGAAAGACAGGAGGTGAAAAAAAAAAAAACAACTTTCTTTCTGCATGGACAGCACTCCCACAAATAAGCATGGTGAATATTCCTAAAACCCACCAGACTTTCTGTAAAATGGGTGGCAAGCACCCTCCACAAAGTGACACAGTACAAGAAGGGCAAGGATTCTCTGCATGCCCAGAAAAAGCAGTATGATGACAGGAAGCAGAATGGCTAAAGTGGGAAGACTAAGTTATTTTCTGGAAAAAGACTAAAACTATCAGGAAGATTGTGCTGAGGCCTTGAGTGTGGTGAACCCAACTTCAGATCTAAGAGATGCAAGCCTTTTGAACTGGGTTGAGATAAGAAGAGAAAGGGCCAAGGGATCCAGTTCTCAGCGTCATCTTTTATTTTATTATAAAAACAATTAAATCTTGAGTTTATGTTAAAAAAATAAATAAAGACAGGAGATTGAATTTCAGAAGTCTATCAGTTCTTGGTAATAAGATCCAAAATAAGGGAGTGGGTAACTAAAGGTTAAAATAATAAGAATTTAAGAGGTCAAAATGCTGTAAGTCTAAGATCTTAGATGGGTCACCCAGGAGGACAGTATTACAGGATGATGATGTACCTTAGCAGGGAGGGACAACCCGTGAACTACATGCCAGTGCAAATTATGAGTATGAGGATGTGGCTATGCAGAAAGTGAGCAAGTGGAGGTGGGCAGCAGAGAGGAGTATGGTAGGGTGGAGATAACAATGGCATTTTAGGGTGCGTATCGCATCCTAAAATTAGGAGCATATTGAAAAGCAGAAACGTTTATACAATAGGGGTGCTGAAAGAAAGGTTTTTAAGCCAACCAGTAAAACAGATCTGTAGCTGAGAATAAACTCTGCATGCATGAAAAGAATGTTGTATCTGTGATTATCCTATTTTGAATCTGAATTTCTCCTGGAAAAAAACGTATATGAATCCGGCTTCTGAGACAGACCATTAAATCGAAAAGAAGAGAAAAATAAGCAGAGAGGGGCAAGAAAGGGAAAGTGCAGGTCATTTGCCTGATTGCCCTTGAATGCATTCTCTGTCCTTCCCTTTCTCTGTTGAGTGCTGCAGGTTCCCTTTCTAGTTCTCTTCTGGGTAGGTTTGCAATGGGAAAACTAGTGGAAGAGTCAAAGGCAGCAGAAGGGGGGAAGCCAAGGTCATGATCCTCTCACTGCTTCAGATGGGCATCTGGTAGTTAGTGGTGGTTTCAGCTCCTTCCAAGCAGCCCTCTCTGTGGTTCTACCTCTATCTTCCATGCCTTTACAACAGCTGCTTTCCTCATTGTCCTTCTAGTCAAAGGGGTGGTTGGTAGCAGCTTCCTACAGCTGGTAATCTCTGTGTTGTTTCATCCCTTTAGGCTTTGGAGCTCTTTCAACACCTATGTACCCATTCCCTGTATTAAATCCCAACTATTTATTAAAATTGTGTCTGTTTTCTTGACATAGGAATCACCTTTTGATTGAAATAATTTGGATCAGAGGTGATAGGGGCCTGAGCCAGAACAGCAGTAATGGGAATGGAGAGGGGAAAATGGATTCAAGAGACATTTCAAGGGTAAAATCAGTAGGGCCTCAGTACCTGACTGGATGTAGAAGCAGGTGAAAAAAAAGAAGTGAAATGACACAAAATTCTGACTTAGGGTAGACCAAGAAACACAGGAGGAAGACAAGGCATTAGGGATGCATGGTGCATGTTGAGGCTAAAGTACCTCAATGCAGAAACACTTTTTAAACCAAAAAATTCCTTAAAAGACTAGGAATTTCTTCCTAAAAAAACAGAATTATAAACAATATGGTAGACATTCATGACCATGGTCTATAACCCACATGGTTAAAAACAAAATATACAAGAAATAGCAGCTTGAATGGCTATCACGAAGATTGGTTAATTCTAATTTTTTCCCATTTTGTTTTATAAATGGCACATACCTCCATTAGATGTGATGCCACTACTTGATAGAAGATCTTCATTATTTGATTCACATGCTTTTGATTCCATATTAAATATTGCTACCTATTCTTAGAGATCTTGAAGTATGAATAGTTCCCTGTTTGGTTCTTTTGATTCCTGTCTATGGAAGACAGAGATTCAATCTTATTAATAAGGTACTATGTGAAAAAGTTCGTAGAAGAACAGGAACTGATTTTATTAACATTTGAAATTCAGTAATAATTTCTTCTTCAGAAAAATAATTATTTATACAGAAATACATATTACATAAAACTAATAAATGAATACAATCTTTTGGTGAAAGTTGTTAATTTTAATGGCCAAGCGGATTATTAAAGACAACCCAAAAATCTAAAACTAATAATTATTGTGGTAAGTAGTGCTCTGATTTTGGGTAGAGGTTTCTCATAAAGTTATACCATCAAATAATGGAAGAAAATATCTCTTTAGCAAAACCCACAAATCGTCAAAATAGAAGTCATTAATAAAAGTTGAAGAACTTCTTTGACGTCAAATAGTGCTCACATTTTTATTTAAGCTAAGAGGAGAATTCTGAATGTGGAGAACAGTGGTGGTGGTCTGATTTCAAATATCCCTCTTATCCTCCCAAAAAGCCATAAAATCACCCAGGCACTCCACACCCCTAGCATCACTGGAAGACAGAGAGTACCACAACCAGCAAATAATCTGCAAGTAAAGGGAAAAGCTTTTTCCAAAAGAATTCCCACAGTCCACCTACCACCACTACAAGCCTAGGAGTACAGAAAATGGGAGGGAAGAGGTAAGCAGAAGACAGAGAATGTACAGATAAATTCACCCCCAGATGTAAAAAAGTAAAGGCCAAAATATTAAGCACAGGTTGGAACTTGATAGTCCATAGCCCTGACAATGGGGTAAGGGCTTGAAGAAGTAGTGGCCTCAGAGAAGCAATGTTTCTTGAGGAGAATGAGATATGGAGAGAAAAGGTGGTCTCCCCTGGGGTCATGGCAATCAAGGGAAAGAAGGAAATGAGAGGGAAACATTAAGGAACCAGCAGAAACAAAACACAAGCTGGATATACCATCCTCCTTCCACCCTTCCCACCCAACACCACTACCCACAAAGAAACTGCATGGCAAAAGACAGTCTTAAAGTAGGAACCTTGTCCACAAAATGAATTGGAATAGATAAAAGCAGACTATATCTACTGCAAAATGTCAGAAAACATGAATACAATCTTTTCTGCTGATGAAAAGTCTCTCCCACAAACAACAAACATGAAGCCAAAGAAAATTGTAACATTATACTTCAGACTGAACCCAGTATGCTCAAACAAGCATTTAGGGGTATGAAAAATCACCCTGAATTAGATATGTAAAGCCAAAGAATAAAAATGGACAAGAAAGAAAATAAGCTAACAAACAAACAGGAAGAGATGAAACAAGAGTTGATTAAAGTTAGGAAAAACAGAGAAGAAGAAGACACAATTATATCAGAAATAAAGACTGAATCACAAAGTACACAAGCAATGATAGGTTGTAATAAAAATTTAATAAAAGTACTGAAGAAATTCAGGAAAACCACCATGAGAATAAAAAATAAGATAAAAAAGTAAAAAGGGTATGAGCCAGGCATGGTGATACCTGTAATCCCAGCACTTGGGGAGACAGAAACAGGAGGATAGCTTGAGCCCAGGAGTTCATGACCTGCCTGGGCAACAGAGCAAGACCCCATTCTCCACAAAAAGAAGAAAAGAAGACAAAAAAAAAAAAAGAGTGATATAGGAATATTGAAATGGAAGACAGGTAAATGAGGTTGAGTATAACTGGGGTTCCTAAAGGAAAAACATAGAACAATGAAACAGAACTATTATTTAAAATTATAATCCAAGAAAATTTCCTAGAAATAAAGACCTCAATCTATACATTTTCCATACCAGGGAAAATTGACCAAGAATGATCAACTCTGAGACATATTCTAGTAAAACAATATTAAGACTTTAAAGATAATGAAAAAATCCTCAGTGCCTCCAGACAAAAAAGATGAAATAATTTACAAAGACAAGAAGATTAGACTGGCACTAGGTTATTAAAAACAACACACACAGTAAGGCGAGAGTGGAGGAGTACTTTCAACAAAGGACAGAAAGTATAAACTAAGGCAATTACAGCCAGGCAAGATCGCCTTCAAAAGGTTTTGAAGCCATAAAAAAGTAGTTTTGTCTGTACCAGAACACTGTGCTGTGTGCCTCTGCTGAGGATTCTACTAAATGAGCTTCAGTCACCCAAAAGACCACCGTAAAATGTGGCAGTGTCTACAACCAGTGAAGATCTTCAAGGTTTTGTGTAGGTTCTAAATTTTTTAAACTAAATTTGGAAAAAAGGATAAAGACAAACATTTAAAAAACAAGACTTAGACAACTGCAAAGGGACTGATAGTGAATATTTAAATATTCAGTTATAGAGTTGAGAAAAACAAATATGAGGTAATGGCACTGAATAGTGATATAAATATTATGTGCTTAACAACAGAGAATAAATGTAACTAAAAACAGGGGGAAGAGGGAAAAAAGTGGAAGGTGAAAGACCACAGACTGTTATAAATGGAATAGATTGTCAAAGGACACCACTTAAAACTGACATAAAGTAAAAGATCAAGTAAGAAAAAGGGGGCTTAAAAGTGCACTATAAAAAGCATTAATACAAAAGTAACCACGAGAGTAAAAAATACAACCTTCTTAAATGACAAAGAATTTTAAAAAGAAAACATAAAAAAGAAACACCAAATAAACTCTAACAAATATAACACAATCAGTAATTACACAAGATAATATAATAATGTGAAAATAACACCACAGAATTTAGACCAAACAGTCATGTTGATAAATATAAGGGGACTTCACTCGCCTATTAGAAGAAAAGGATTTTCAAATTGGCTAAAAAAAAACCTGCTATGTACAAAAAAGTATGCCTAAGAACGCACAGATTCAAAAAGGCTAAAAATAAAAAGATGAACAAAAATTTGCCAGACAAATGAAAACAATAAGAAAGCACAGGTTAAAATCCTGATACCAGACTAACTAGTCTTCAAGCCAGACAGCATTAACTAAAACAAAGTGCAGTGTACTTGAAGTTAAAAGCCACATTCCACAATAAAGATATGTACCATATAACACAGCAAGCACCTGGATAAAGCATAAATCCACAGAAGATACAGTAAGAACTGAAAACACAGTAATAATAGAAGACTTTAACAGACAATTAGTATGAGACAGACCAAGTGGACAAAAAATAAGTAGAGATAGATATAAAAGATTCAGAAGAACTAATCACTAAGGTAGATCCTTTGGCTATATATTGAACACCATACTTTGATAAAAGACAATATACTTTCCTCTCAAGGGCACATGGCACATTCACAAAAATCAATCATATTCTAGGGCACAAATAAAAGGTCAGTAGGTTCCATAAAGCAGAAATGTTACAAACAGCACCTCCGGTCACAGTATAATCAAGCTAGAAATTAAAATCAAAACTTCCAAATTAAAAGGGCCTTTCCACCTGGAAATTAAAATGCCTTCTATTAAACAACTCTTATGTGATAAGGGAAATATAAGCTGAAATTAAATAATTTATAAAAAATAATAATGAAAACAGTACATAACTGTGACATACATTAAAAGTAGTAAAAAGACGAAAATTCCCAGCCCTGGACACCTATATCAATAAAAATGAAATAATAAAAGTAAGTTAATTAAGTCTTTAACACAAAAACATAGAAAAATGGGTAAACTAGGTTGAGCACGCTGGCTCACGCCTGTAATCCCAGCACTTTGGGAGGCTGGGGCGGGCAGAGGTCAGGTGTTCAAGAGCAGCCTGGCCAAGATGGCAAAACCCCGTCTCTACTAAAAATACAAAAATTAGCTGGGTGTGGTGGTGAGTGGCTGTAATCCTAGCTACTCAGGAGGCTGAGGCTAGAGAATCACTTGAACCCAGGAGGCAGAGGCTGCAGTGAGC